CCCCAGCGGGCTGCCACTTTTCCCTCCCCTGGGCGGCAGGGGAGGCAGTCCTTCCGGAAGGTGTGGTCTGGAGGCGGGCGTCCCAGGAAGCTCCTGAGGGCCCGCCAGCCCCCCCCCCCCCCCCCCTGGTGGGGTTTTGGTTCGGGGCGGGGGTGGGGGGGGGAAGCGGATTTGTGCTCATCCTTGTCAGGGTCGGGTGCTGGCGCCCTCGGGGCTCCCCTCACCCCTTTGTGCCCCTCTCCCCTCCTGGCCCCCTCTCCCACCTCCGTGCTGTCCTGCACGGCTCCCTCTGAAGTCCCCGCTCACTCCAGCCCCACGGGACTCCTTCCCGTGCTCCTTCGGTTGGACTGCCTGTCCCTCCCCTCCCTCCGCTGGACTTCCTGCTCGGCTGGGCCCTCGACCCCAGGCTGTGGCCCGCCCGGACCCTGCCCTCATCGGCCCTGTAAGTTCAGAAGGGCCGCGGAGGAGCCCTGAGCTCCCCTTTCTGAGAGTCGGGGCTTCCCTGGCTCCCGAAGAGGGGCTGGAGATCCAGGGGCTCACCCCCGCCCCAGCCGGGCAGCCTCAGTGGGGTTGGTATTTCCTGCCACCTCCCCCGCCTTCCCAGGCTGTCTGGCAGAGACCAGAAAGGAGTTGGTGGGGGTTCCCCGGCTTCCTGCTGGGGGTTCCGGGGTGGGGCGGCGGGGCGGGAGGGTTCTGGTGGGCATTCTGGAGGGAGCCCGTGCAGTTCAGGACTGTTGGCGGGGGGGGGGGGGGGCGAGGAATGTCCCTTCCCTCTCTCAGAGGGACCTCAGGGCCCACCTGGTTGGCCACTCCTGAGTGGTGGCTGTAGTTTCTGCTTGCATACAGCTACAACGGGGAACTCACTACCTCAGGAGCAGCCTGTGCCCTTGTCAGTTACCATGAGAACATTCTTTATTTTAACTTTACTAAATGTAACTTTTCACACCCATATACTCTGGCGGCCCAGGGGGTTACTGCTCTCCTGCTCTGGGCGCTGAGCATTCCAGGGCATTCCATCTTTGCTCCGTGGCTTCCCTATCTGGCCTCCGGGTATTGGCATTTTAGAGTCAGTTTTATGGCCTGAAACGCTTTTTGTGCCAAGGGAGAGATCTGTCCATCACCTCTTCCACGCAAGCCTTCCTGAACTGAATCTGGCAGCTCTTTGAAGTCCCTTTGCCTGCGTTGGGGCTGCCAGGATGTCCCCCTGCCTGGACGGGGGCCTGTCTCTTGTTGGAGGTCCCTGTGAGCTCCCGGGCCATGGCCTCCTTCTCTGGAGTCCTGAGTCTCACGGATTACTGCCGGTCCCCAGGGGCATGGAGGGTGTAAAGCAGTGTGAGGTGCTGGGTTCAGGCCTGGCAAGGCCCGGGTTCTTGGGGGGCGGCGGGGGGGGAGAGAGTCGGCAGTTGGGTTTTGCCCCTCCCCCCGAGGCCCCGTGCGCCCCCTTGGGTGGGGAGAGCTGGGTGTCAGCAGCTCCCAGGGTGGGGTCTGGGCCTGAGCCTGGTGTCTTGCAGCCCAGGATCAGATAAGCGTGTGGTGACCGCTGGTGACAAGTCCCCTGCGAGTCCAAAGTATGACTTCAAGAATAGCGCCTTATCACATCTACTGTTTATCAGTGGGTGGGGACAGATAGTGGCCCGGAAAAGGCAGAGACTGTGTGCACGTGGAGGGCAGGGCGGGGCCTCTCTGCGAGCAGGGGGTGTTTAGGCATTTTTCCCTTTTCCTCCTAACGTTCCCTTCCTGGCCAGACTCCAGAAAATACCCCCTGCCCGTTGTCACCCAGGCTCCGGGAAAGTGTCTGCTGTGGATGTTCTGTGTCAACAGGAAGGGCCTGGGGGCAGCAGGGGTCACTGAGGTGGGTCTTGGCCGGGGTGGACCCTCCCAGGGGCTCACAGTCCCTGGTTTGGAGCAGTTGCTGTACACGTGACCCTGGGGCGCAGAGGATGGGGGCTGGGCTCAGGAACCAGGCCCCGACCTTTGCGTTTGGGAGACGGGCCACACGCAGAGGCTGGAGGCTGGTTCCCCTTCCCCTGGCTCCCCGCTTTTTACCGGAGGCCCCCCGCACCCCTGTACCCGGCTCCTCCTGTCTTGCCCAGTTTCCCTCCATCTCATTGTTGGCCTCCTCACGGTTCCCAGACTTGAGAGGCTGCAGCAGCTTTGGGGTGCAGCCTGGTAGCTGTCAGTCTAAGGAGTCACTTCCCTCCCTCCTTCCTTCCGGCCAAAGCTTTCTCTTGCCTCTCCCAACCCTTCCTGCCAGGGAGCAGCAAACAAACAAATAAGCAAGCCGCTCAGGCCCCATAGGCCCAGCGTGGACCTGGGGAGCCTCTTCTGCAGCTGTGTGAACGCGAGGTCCGGCTCCCCACACCCCGCAGGTGTGGCCGGCCCGCAGCAGAGGCCCCGACAGGCTCTGGGCCCCATGGCGCTCCCGGCTGCACTTTGCCCCTTAAGGAGAGCAGCGCCCGGGAAGGCCCCCACCCCGTCCTCTTCTCCAGAGCACCCCAGTCCCCCCAAGGTTTCCAGGCAGCGGGTGGAGGTGAGGAAGCTGTGAGAGTCCCGGAGTGCTGTCTCTCTCTTGGCCCCAGACCCGCATCTTGTTCCCAGAGGCTGGGAGGAAGAGTGGGCTGCTCCCCTAGGGCGGCCACAGGCCCTCAGGCTTCTGGACGCACTGCTGGGGTTGGGATGCCTGTCTGATCGAGAGCCCCAGCAGTTGCCCCCTGCGCTCTCTGGCGGAGGCGTCTGCAAAACGGATGTTGGGCGATGTCCATCTTGCTTTCCTGCCCTCCCCGCCTGAAGTCGGAGGCGTGCTTCTCAGGACTGAGTAAAGGGGAGGGGCCAGCGCTAGCCTGCATCCGGCACAGTGGGCTTGGACAGGGACCAGCTGGCTCAGGGTTCCTCATGGAGGGGTGGTCAAGGGCCAGGTGAAACGGGCATTCCAGTTGTCCCAGGGGCCTGGTAGAAAGAACAGTGGCTGCTCGGCCTAGGGGCAGCTGCAGGTTTTGGGGCGTGTGCCTGGGTAACTTTTGCACCTTCCCTGTGCCCGTTTCCTTGTCTGTCACAGGTGGGTGGACAGGGTCGCAAGCATTCAGTGAGGTCAAGGATGTGCAGCCAGACCTCGTGGGTGCAGGGAGCTTAATGACTAATAGGGCTGGCTTGCAGTACCCATCTCTGCCAATAGGTGCCGCCATCTGGTTCTGGAATTTTAAGCTCTTATTTTCAAGTTCAGTGAAATGGTTTATTCCCAGTTCTGTGAATGGCAATGGTTTCAGACGGATTAGATGAGGCTCTTTTGCTGGTGCAGTGGAAGGCAGGCCCCCACTCCCTGGCTGGGAATTCCAGGCCCCCTTCCCGTGCCCCTCCTCCCTCAGAGGGCAGGCAAGGGAGGCGGTGCCCCGGGGGCTACAGGATGGAAATGGGTAAGTGCTCCCAGAGAAGGGGGTCCCCAGGGTTGGCAGAGCCTCCCATGTTTCTGCGAGGACCACCCCACCCCACGGGCTGGCCACCGCCCAGCACCTCCATGGACAAGTTCACAAGGCCCTGGAGGAAGCTCAGCTCTGGCCGGGCTTGGGTCTCCCCGGCCCTGACTGTTGGTAGCGGTGTCCTGCAGCCTGTCCCCGAGACTCAGTTTGCACCGGTGACCAAAGTGTGTGAGAGGACTCGGGGGCGATGCACAAACAAACAAGGCTTCTTCCTGCTCCAAGCCTGGCGCTCAGGGAACGCTCAGGGCACGGCTGCTCCAAGGTTCAGGCAAGCCAAGTCCTCCTGCAGCTATTGGGTGGTGCAAGCAGGGCATGTCCCCCAACTTGGGGGTACGTGTACGGGGGCTGCCCGATCACACCCATGGCCTGCTCGACTTCTCAGAAGCATGTGTGATCACTGCAGGCCTGGCAGGAAGGGCCTGAGGGACCATTTTGCAGATGGGAAGGCTGAGGCCCACCGAGGGGGCGTGGCTTGCTCAGGACACCCTGCCAGAGGCCGGACTGGACTAGCCTTGGCCTGCAGCTCTGACTCATGCGGCCTTGTTTGGGCCTCTCTGAGTTCCCCGTGGTCTGCTCAGGCCCCAGGGCAGTGGATTCACCCGGAGAGCCTCGGCCCTGGGGAAGCTCCTTGTTGAGCCCTCAGGGAAGGGCAGGGAGGCCCAATTAGTGCCTGGTGGGGCTTTGAAATCCCTGGCATGAAAGGCTGGTGTGTGGGAGGTCCCGGCCTCTCACTGCCGCAGCCTCTGTGGGTTGCCCGTCTGCAGGCTTGGTGCACACCTGGGCCCCCTCCACCAAGCCTGCCTGGAAGCTCTCCTGCCCCAGGCCGCACGCCACCAGGCCTGGGCACACAGGAAGCTGTATTCTTCGGGGCCCCGTGAGGTAGAGGGGCCTGGGGGCCTGTTGTCTTGGCCACCACTGCTGGGGTATCTGAGCAGGCCCAGGCCGTGTGCTGGGCCCGCCCTGCCGTGGGCAGCGTTAAGAACACAGGGCCTCAATTCCCCATCTGTAAAATGGGATAATAGGACCGCCGTGTACCTCCTAACTCCGTGCGTTCATCTCCGCTGGGGACGTGCACCATTTTTGCTACATAGTGGGTGTTCCGAAAATGTCAGCCTTCATTATTTTTATTATCCCCAGACTTTCACCTTGACCCCCTGAGTAGATGGGTAGAGGGGCTGGCAACTCCTGGCCACCAGGCGTTCCAGGTGGACAGGCCTGGGGTGCTGAGGGTTCCAGGGGCAGCCATCTGGCCTCCCTGCCCAGATAGGCATCTGAGAGCAGCTGTCAGCCTGCTTTTCCTGCATCTGCCTGGGGCCCAGCCTGAACCTTAAAGTTGGGCCAGGTGGGGCTGGTGCCTTGGAGGGGAGCTCTGGGCATGCCTGGCCTGGCCTCGTGTTGCTGGGGAGCCGTAGGATTGCAGTGGGGGTCCCTTGCCCTTCCACGGCCTGGTGTGGTGGCTGTGGCCTGAGGGGTAGTGGGCCCGGCTATATCCCTCAGGTGTGGATTCCTGACGGGTCTCCGGTGGCTTCTTGTCTTACAGACTTCTCCACGCAGGTGAATTCCTCTTCCCTCAACTCCCCCGTGGGGCGCGGCTCCATGGCCGCCCCCTCGCTGCATCCCTCCCTGGGGCCCGGCATCGGCTCCTCGCTCGGATCCCCGGGACAGCTGCACTCGCCCATCAGCACCCTGAGCTCCCCCATCAACGGCATGGGCCCGCCCTTCTCGGTCATCAGCTCCCCCATGGGCCCCCACTCCATGTCTGTGCCCACCACACCCACCCTGGGCTTCGGCACCGGCAGCCCGCAGGTAAGTGCGGGGGCGGGGCCTGGACCAGAGGGGCGGGGCCTGGCTTTACCAGCGTAGTCCTGTGGACCCTGGAAGGCAGGTGCTGTCACTTCGACCTTTCCTCTCTGGAAACAGTGTCAGAGAGGCAGCCTTCGCCAGGGTTTGGGCTCAGGTCCGGCCAACTCCTGCGCCCGTGGCCCTCGGGGGTCAGTGACCAAGCTTCCTCGCCGGCCCTCTGTCCCAGCGAGGCCCCCTCCAGTGCGGGGGGGACCTGCCCCTAGGACTCGGAGCTCTGTAGGGTGGGGACTCCTAGGTCCTCAGGCTGAAGCCGCCTTCCTGGAGCCCTGTCGTCCCCTGGCCTGCCCTTCTTGTGCCCCGGCCTGGACCCTTCCCCACACGGGGTGTCTCGGTGCTCCCTGCCCCGACCCCCAGGCTCGGGCAGACGATGCCTCCTGGGGGTGCCAGGCCTGAGTCCCACCGTGGCTTCAGCTCATCTGCCGGGCTTGGTGGTCTCTGGGGTCGTGTTTGCCTAGATGCTCCTCTGAACAGCCTGGCTTTCGGGCTTGGGTCCAGATCAGGAAGCTGCTGGCACCTGGTGGGCCTGACTCAGCCAGTTCTTGCCGTGGGGACCCCCGAGGCCTGGTCCACCCTCCCCTGGGTGCTTCTCGTCTGAACCCCTGCAGAGCTGTCCTGAGTGCCCAGGACCCCTGCTAGGCATCCCCTCTCCTGGCTCTGGGGGTTTCCTGGTGGATTTCTCACTGGATGCCTGGGAGAGCTGCTGAATCCCAGGGGTCTTCCCTCTTTCCGGGGCTCAAACTCTCCTTTTGGACATTGGTGGGGCCCCCTTTGCTCTGAGCGTTGTTCAAGTCTGGGTCCAGCTGTCATCCCCGTAGAGGGAGGCCCCCTTAGAGGAGCTCTGGGAGCTGTTGCCACGGGGTTGCAGGACAGAGGCCAGAGAGGGACTCGGGCACAGGCTCCACGGCCCAGGGCTGCACGGCTAGTTGTGTCAGCGTGTCCCGTGGGCCCCCTGCTGCCCATGGAGCCACGCCGCCTGCAGGACAGCCCTCGCCCCCTCCATCGGCTGGGCCTGTCCAGAGCTGGTCTTGGTGGAGCATCTTGCTGGCTCTTCCAGGGCCACCTCATCAGCCCCTTTGTGCCTGGAGGACAGGTGCAGAGGAGCTCGGGCCTCAGGTGGCCCCTCATGTCATCTGGCCTTCCAGAAGCAGGCAGAGGGCCGGAGGTGTTGGCACGGGGGTCTTGGCTGCCTTCCTGGGCCCGGCTGTGCTCTTGTGAGCATATGGCCGCCACACCCTGACGATGCTGCTCGACGGGAGGGCACACGAGGGCTGGGCCTGCACTCTGTCCCCTGGGAACCAGGACAAAGGCGGCACCTGCTGGCTCCCAGGGAGGGCCCCATGAGGCTCCTTGCTGGCCCCCGGGCCCGGTGCCTGCCCTGCACGCCCCGCGGGCACGCGTATGGCAGGAGCCTGGGTGTGGAGTCTGGAGCAAGGGCTGTACTGGGGCAGGGCCCAAGGGTGGCAGTGATGCCCCCCAAACCTTGGGGGAGCCTGGTGTCCCCTGGCACTGGTAGCCTGTCTGGGGGCAAGGGTGGGCGGTGCTGGCGAGTGGCGGTTTGGGGCCACGTCCACCCTGTTCTCTGTTGTTCTCTGCACACAGCTAGGTTCCTGGCGCACGGTGGGTGCTTATTGAAGGCAGGTTGCTTGTGAGCGAGGGGCCGCAGGTCCCGTGAGGCTGATGAGGGGATGAGGAGTGGAGCTTAGGAGGGGGTGAGGGTGGGGAACAAACCCCGTGTGTCCCAGACGTTCACGGCTGCCCTTCTGGTCAGCCGTCCGCCTGTTCCCCCGTAGGTCCATCAGGCCGCAGTTCGTTTAGCCGTGGTCTGAGCCCCGTGCGCGGCCTCTGGCCGCCGTTCCTGTGGAGGCCTCAGTTCCCCCCGACCCCTGCCTCCACCCCTGCCCCCGTAACTCCTTCCCTGGGCTCTGAGTTCAGCTTCTAGGTT